ACTTCGTTTAATGAGATACACTTCATTTTCTCTTCCGCGGCCATTACCGCTCCTCTTTGTTTGGATGCCATGCTCTAATAAAGGATGTAAAAATGTTCGCAATTCCAGTAAAACTCACTGCAACAAAGAGTCGCTTGCATGTCGCCGTTTTGGATCCAATGACAGAAAATAGCGGTGGGGATACATCTATTTCGTCGTATCGAGCGCGACTTACTTGAGTTAGTGCTACTCCGGGCTTCCGTATCGTCTCCCCCTCCCCCCTTGTGCTCTGCGACTTCAAGTATTTGCGCCACCTGGCGTTTAAATGCCTGTATTACAAGTCCAAATGAAATGAATGCAATAATTTACATCGAACCTTAATTGTGTACTGTACCAACCTTCGGCGGGCCGGATTAAAAAGACCAACGGGCCGGATCCGGCCCGCGGGCCGTAGTTTGCCCATGTCTGGTAGGTTTAGGGGTTAAACGACGACAATTAAGACGATATCAGTCATATGGACTTTCCACACTCGTGCTGCGAGAGACACCCACCCACACACACACACACACACACACACACACACACACACACACACACACACACACACACACACACCTCTTGAAGGCTTTCATGTCAGAGTAATCCAGCTCATTTGTTCACATAGCAAATAATATATAAATATCTGTTAAGTGCTTAAAGTGCAACGTTACCTCATCACAAAGTAAGGTCACAGAGACTTGTACATTTTCTGATGGCGAGCAACAAGTACCAAACATGCAATAGATAAGAACTAAATTACTTAACAATCTTATCATTTCCGAATCATCAGAAGAAATGCGTGCCCCCTACGCCACTGAATAACCGTCTACTTTGCACCATTATATTCTCACCCGACTTGTTCTTTTACAACATTCACCTTGATACCTTGCTATACGAGCAAATTGCTGAAAAGTGCAATTTAGATGAGGTCTGCCCCAATCAGATCTCAGCGAAAAGGTGGTGGTAGTGGCACGGGCGACGATCCGACCCACACAGGGCTGCTTACTCTGCTACTTTGTTGGTCACACGACAAGCAACTGTCCAACGAAACATGTCGCAGCCAATTAAAAATAATCATAATAATAATCGGAATCTCTGGGCCATGTGCCTTGGAATGGACCAACCGAATTTTCCAATGGCCACCACACCTCTCGTTGTTGGAAGTTCACATTTTGTGATGTGCAAAAAGTACACTGGGTTGCGTATTTTTTTTTTCTGTATTCAAAATAACACTTGTTGCAATGCTTTTGGTGTGTGTATCTGCGAATTTATTTATGTTTTTTCGCAATACAGTATTGTTTAACCAAAAAATCATCTTGTCCATGCATTTAAATACTTTTTCGGCTCAGGTTTTTACAGAGAAAATAGCCTGAGAATGAATCCAATAAATAATACGCATAACTCGGTTTCAGTTGCATTCAGACATACCAATCAACAGAAAACAAGCTCATGCCCTAAAGAGGAGACAGGGAGCGAGAGAGAACCTCTAACAGTGCCTGCTTAAGTCATGCCCAATTGAAGCATGATGCCTAATTGAAGCATATTTTGCCATGCACATCGAGAGGTTTTGCGATCTCAAGAGGAGAATCTTGAGAAATGAAAGTGTGGGTACTCACTGAAACATTGCAATGTTCAACATCAGAAGCACTTGGGAAAGGTTGGCCAATATGAATGGGATGGGGATTCCAGAAAGCAGGTTATGTGAAAACTCAGAGTATGTTAATCTTGAGAGGAGGGAAAAGTTGAATTATGCAGTCTAGAGAGAGGGTAAGAGTTTTTTTTTCTTCATATAGACAAGTGATTTCAAACCACACCATAGTGAGAGTTATCAGCGGTGCCGTGGGAAATCCAGTCCATCCACTTTCATCTAATTTCTCCCAAAGTTATATTTTTGTTTATCTGCCCATGACATCATAAAAAATGAGGACAGAACAGTTACAGTAAATATTCTTTCATGGCAGAATAGACAATAAAAGTGTGGAGTCCCCTGTTACTACTCGCACAATAGAATAACTGATGGCTTCCTGCGAGTATATCAGCTTTGTGTTCATTTATAAACAGACTCAGATTTTGAATTTGGTCAGTATTTATTTAGAGATAAAATCATTATGGTTTTGGTGACATTTTTTTTTGGTGGTGTTCCATGAGATTTTATAAGATAGATGTCTTGGCTCAATAAAAGTTGGGAAACACTGACAGGCTGTTAAATTTTGGTCTACAAATCCATGATGTGTGTAAATAACAATGTCTTAAATTGAGATCTGTTGAATATTACATGAATGTTGATCAAATCAGTTGTTTCATGTTAATTTGTATCAATAAAAAGCAATGTGAGATCCAGTCATGACCGAGTAAAATATATATATATATATTTTTTGTCACTCTGCACTCGCTTTAATTCCAAGGGGAAATGATGTAACATGTTTCTCTCCGGTTGCGAAGGGGAATCTATCAGGACTCAACTGAAGATATCTTTTTGTTGTGGTAGTGTACGCGCTGAAGGTATATATGACCTTTAAGAGGTTCAACAGTACTCATTATAGTAACACAGTGACATTTTAATACAAGTCTGGCTGCGCCATGACAAAATGTCCCTTTGAATGAGTATATAACGCACATCTCCATCATCACTTTGTGATGACTGATTTACGACAGAGTAACTCTGTCGAGCCTAAATTCAAACTAATTCAGATCAGGTGCTTTTGAACCGAATACTGAGTTTTCAATTTCTGAGGGCGTCAATGACAGAGCTCAGGTTTAGACTGTTGAAACTCCTCTCTGGGAATACCATCGGGCCCAGAAGAGAAAGTCTCTGTTGTTTGTTTGAAGCTCTTCCCACCAAACACTTTGAACCTGTATTGCTAACGAAGCATCGAAAGGGCCTACAAAGGAGGAAGATCGGGAGCTTTGAAGGACCTAAACACGAATATACACAGAAATCAACAACAAAGTTTAAGCGAGATGAGATTGTTCCTTAACAAGGAGGAAACATATGGAGCTGCCGTGCGAGAGCTTGAAACTGTCCTTATTCTGGAACTGTTCTTTGACCTTGGGCCCTTTGGAAGGTTTTGTGGTTGTTACAGAGGCAACAGTAAAATGTTTCCTGACCACCACCAGCTCGTTGAGCACGTTCCCTGACTTCTGATCTTGCTGATCAGTGAATATGCTGCACCGGCGGAGGCACAGGACCAGTGAGGCACCATTCGAGTATTAGAAGGTCTAAGCAACCCTGAAAGGCCAAGTAGACCATCTGTGCAGCTTTGCCCATGAGATATTCTTTGCATTTTGTTTGAAATAATGAATTACTGGGACAGATTTTTCTTAGTTAATTTTGAATGAAGAAATATATTAAGACACTGTTGGTCAGGAACAGTTGTCTAGTTTTTTTAGTAAGCATCAAATATTGGGAAATCAGATGACAAACTAGGGCTCCATTGACTTGGACAAATATGTGGAACAAAGCTCCAATTTCTTTCTAACATCCCGCTATTATCCGTGCCAGTCTGATTCATTGTTTCTTCGAGAACGTCCTAAGTACACACTTAAGAGGGGGAATAATATGAAACCATGGAAACAAACTTGACAAAACTCCCCTGGATGAATCACTGCTGTAAAATAATTTTACAACCTCAACCTGTATTTTGCTTTTCTCTGCTGGATTCGTTGCTGTGCAGGAAAATAGCCGTGAGGTGCCCGTTTGTCACATTAAACGATAAAACATAGGAGGTGAGCCATCGTAAAGGATAGGTTCGAGAACATTCTGCCTTCTGGAATGCTTATGCACTGGTGTTCAGAAACGTAAGTACACTTGAATGTGTGCAAGCGCAAAAGGCAGGAGATAAAAATGCACACCCTGTTCCTGTATATTATCATTCAAAAACATACCACTACTCTGTGAAGCCCCCCCCCGGCCCCCCCAAAAGAAAAGAAAAACTTCAGACATTATTCCCATGAGTGTGTGAAGCCTTGCAATGTCTGGTTTTTCATTGGCAACAAAAATAAATAGCAACGGCATTTAAAAACAGTGGTACCCGATTACTCCGTTGAACAAACAGTAACAAAACTTCTGTGTCCATATTTATTTGAAACGTTGGAGCCTGGTGAATTGTCTGATTCAGTAAAATGTGTTGTTGTTTGTTTCCATCAAGCTGGAGAAGAAGGAGATGACGCCGCCCTTCAAACCTCAAATCTCGGATGACTACGGCCTTGAAAATTTTGACACACAATTTACGAATGAGCCCGTACAACTCACACCGGATGATGAGTAAGTAGCATTTCTTAAAATGTCATGACCACCATCGTTAACTCATGTTGGTTTTTTTTTTTTTTTTACTTAGTATATCAGAATAAGACTGAAAATGTAAAAGTGTGGCGAGGTGAGAGAGCGAGTGAGTGAGAAAGAGATGTCACATTCAACTAACTTTGGTTTTGTTTTCCCTCATCGGGTTTATGCTCAAAAACACCAATACGCATTGTTTTTGCCTCGATTACACGCGTGAACACAATTACAGGTCATCTTACATTAAAGAAACAAAACAACGGTCACTGAAATTGAATTTGGCACAAGTACCGTAGGAATACACACGAAATTTCAATGAACATTGAACTCATTCAAATCGGGCATGACTTGACCTGCGTCTCAGAGCGATTTTTAAAAATTTTTATTTATTTATTTATTTATTTTTGACAGGCGGCAGCACAATTCTTGTGCAGAATGCCTTGATAGTCTCCCGAGTTCCAAATTAAAACTCCGAGAAACATTGTGGCTTGTCAAAATGCATTTGGGAAATTTCCCGTCTGATTTGTTGAAGTGAAACACATGAAAACATTGTGGGGTTTTCTTTCTTTAATGGAATTCTTGTTCATGTGTGTCATGTGTATGTTGTTCAGAATTATTTTTCTGGTTTGTTTCGGATGGATGTTTGACATTTTAGTTTTGTTTCATAGCTGTTCTTTTTCCCTTAGCAAGTTGAGTGGACAATTCTTCAGGTGTTCTCAGGATTTGGATGTACTGCACTCTAGAAATAGCAATATATGTTTCACTTCCACCAGTTTTCCGTTTGTGTCCCATCATAGACGGGAATTTACCAGCAGTGAAAAAAAGGATGGCTGAACCATACAGAAGCTTATAACTCTTTGTTTCGTGAATGGTATAAAATTGAGCCCTAAAACTCTCATTCAAAATCGTACCATGGCAAACTAAGTAAAAAGCTGTTTAGCTAACATCTTCTAGAAAATTAGCATTTGCACAGGTAAATGAATAGCTTAACTTGCGTTGAACTGATGGATTTTGTCTGACTGATACTGAAGCGAGCACATCACACAAGGTCATGCAGCTCTGAGACGCCTCGGTAAAGCAATCGATCCTGCTGCGGCGTGAAGATTCTGGTTCTGGTGGTCCCGTTGTATACAACACCTCTCAAAGAGTGCCATGATTATGCCTGTACAACAATCGCCAGTGTTGCAAAATAGTGGCCGGATTAAATGTCAAGTGGCCTGCTCAAGTGCGATTGGCTGGCAACCAGTTCAGGGTGTCCCCCGCCTACTGCCCGAAGATAGCCACGAGAGGCTCCAGCATGCCACGCGACCCTTGTGAGGAGAAGCGGGTCAGAAAATAAAATAGATGGATGGATGGATGGCCTGCTCAGGAATTTTATTTCCTTCTATCCCGCTTCCGAACTTCACATTTACAGTAAGCTGCAAAGATCAGAGCGCATGTAGCCACTGGATCTGTTAGTGTGAACTGGAGCCTTATTAAATACCCATCATGCTTTGAACCCACGACAGATGTTTTTTGCTCTCTTACCTTTTGAACATGCACAGGCCGGCTGTCGGCGCGGCGCGGTCTTCAAACCAGCCTCGGGCTGGATGAGCCTTTCAGCTCATTAAGCGTTTGCGGCGAGGCTGTTCGGAAGGGCCTCCAAATTTGCGCGTGACAGAATTAGACGACAGTGTTCCATGGCGGACTTTCGGGGAGGAAAGGGTGGATGTTGAGGGGGTTCCACAGAAAGGGAGATGAACAGCAGGGGGGTGGAGAGCACTCTGCCGGTTCAAATAGTGGCGATATCAACCTTGCATCAAACACCAAGGCACATCAAAAGAAGGCGCTTGGCTCTTTGCTGCCTCTCGCACTTTATCTCCCCATCCCTGTGTCTTCTCTCTGTTACCAGGGAGAGAGGCTGATGTCGCCCACTCCCGCTATGAGAGGGTGATGCAAAAAGCTCACCAGTCTCCTCTCTCTCCCAATCCTGATGGGCTTGGCACAAGAAGAAAGAAAAGTGAAGCACTGTCAGGAGAGAGAAGGGTAAACTCTCCATGTTAGAGATTTACATTGCTACATTAAAAGCCCGGATTGCTGGGGGGCTCCTGCCAGGATGCTGTGGTGAGGGGGAAGGGGGCGGGGAGGCATTTAGACTTTCTATGCCAGCACCTCGTCTTTGAAAATGGAAGCCATAGTCACAGCCCAGAGAAGCATATTTCTTCTCCTGCCTTGGTGCTTGTAAAAGTCCCAACGGTGGGTGACCAAACAAGTCGACTGAGTCTGCTTCTCATCCAGGTTCATGTAGTAATGTGCATTATACTTTTTTTTTTCTTTTTTTAAGTTATGCCCGTTCTGAATCAGTTGGTCATTGGACTGTTAATGGAAATCTAATTGTGATTTCGATGTTGGCTTCTCACTATCTTGATGTAGGAACACATACAGACAGGTCATAGAACAATTTTAAAAGGCATACATTCTTCCTCATCAGTGAAAAAACAGCTTTTTTTAACAGAAGAGGCTAACATGCACACGGCAGGATCAGCCGGTCTTTATTTTCATTTATTACCTTTTGTTGCTATTATGTTATTATATTCTTATTTAACGTTGTTACTAATTAATGTTCACATTGCTCTTCCAAGTTATATTTAAGGTTGAGTTATTAAGGATGCGAGCAATTTTTGTCATACCGCCACACATTTACACATTTGGTACAAAATATGATACTCAGGTTAGCCCAGTAAGTCCGAAGACTGGTGAAAATAAAAATCGAACAACAAAGTGAGATCGGATAAAAATGATCAAGAGATCAGAAAGATGCTTATTCTTGGTTTGAATGAATGCAAAGTTGTGGCTGCAGCACCAATGGCAAACTTCACCACCATGAGTGAGCTTGATGACTCACTCATGTTGTTGTTCAATCTGGCAGCGCACTATTGGCTGTGTGACCACTAGGCGGCTCCGGATGAAACCTCAGCATGCGCGCCCTAAGAGGATGCTCGCTATTTGGCTCCCCGCTCGGACTTTCAGCTGCCTTTGTGTGAGGAAGTCCCGGATCCAATTACAGGTTCCATCACTGTGCTATGATGGTGTGAAGCCAAGGTCAATGCGGTGACGTTTGGCAAAGCGAGGCCAGTTTTTCCATGGGATCAGATGATTGTCTCGCCTGTGAACCAGTCGGGTACCAGGTGGAGAAGGACGTGGTCAGGTTTTAGAGGAACAGCCGACATCATTTTGGCCTTTTATTTAAATGACATTTAGGAGCTGGAAGCTGTCTCGGCACAGCTAACAAAGTCTATTTGAAAGACAATGCACGTACATACTGCCATCTTATTTGAAACGTTTCAAAAGCGCAAAGACAGAAAAACATGTGACCTGTTTGACTAACATTGGACTCACGCCCAGCTGAAAGCACCTTTGGATTTAACTTCAAAATCTTTTTCTGTCTTCTCAGTCTTGACTGGAGAGAGGCCCTTTGTGGAGATGAGCGTCTTGTATCGCCACTGACACAAAAAAAACACATGCGTACACACACATTGTAAGGTAGAAATGAGGCCAAGACTGTTGTTGCTAGGAGATGTTCTATTTACCCAGCACAGTCTGAATCCACTAGTTATGGGGTTTCACTTCATTAACCCGCCATTGTTTTTGCTGATGGTTGCAGCAGACTCAGGAAGCAAAGAGCACAGATTAGTCTGAACGGAGTCTGAATTATTTCTCTCCTGTTTGCGATCATGTATGAACAAATGACATTTTACGGGGTTGTCCGAGACACACACACACACACATTGGGTTTTCCCCACAATTCTCAGCACGCTGTTTTTCTTGACAACTAAACGCTGCCTCGCTGAACTTGGCCAGAGAAGCCAATGGAAAAATCCCTACAAATCAAATGTTTTCAGTTGGACGTTGCCATCGCAACAGCGGCAGCAGATCCCCCCCCCCCCCCAAAAAAAAACCACACTTTAACAGAACGAGATGACAGACGCATTTGAAATAAAGTGCACTGCAAACAAAATAGGAAGCCATTTTCAGCCTTAGCTTGTGCTCTTATTACAATTCACTTTACAATCAAAACAGAAACGACTGAGGTCAGCTGTCACAGATCACAGCAATGTTGACTTTTAACCATGTAGTGTTTATTTGGTGCTTAAAAAAGGAAATCGTCGGTGAAAAAAGTTTGACGATTGTTACCGTGTGTTTTCAGAATATGTCTGTTGGTGCAGCTCTCTGTAGATGTTGACTTTCACGTGACAGTGAAATGGGTTCCATGCTGTCTCAAGGAACAAAAATGGCGGATTTTCAGCCACGTTGCTGCCAAAGTCATGGCTGGAGAATCTGTGTGAGAGTATTTAAATTAGCACTATTGTTTTGTCTCCGTAACAAAATCCAAATTTCTTAATGGAGGTATATTATGGATCCAGACTTAAGGGCGAAATTAAACCACCAAGTAAATCTTGGTTAGCTGCCCGTTTCTAAAAATGTATATTGTAAGTGAGCCATTCAGAATTTTGTGAATTGTGCCAGTTCGGCAAATTTACATTTAAAACAAAAAAAAAAAGTTTCCCAGCCCATGAGGCTCCGAGAGCTGCTATTGTCAAACGATGAACAGAATCCAGCCACTGGAATACATTGAAAGTGTATCATGTCAAAGCCAAAAAGGTAAGCAGAGCTGCAGTGTTGAAAGGAGTCTTATTTTTCAGTTTCTGTTTCCATAGTCATGAAGCAATATTCTGTGAGCCGTGAAAGATCACTCAGCAATGCTTGCAATCAATTCTTTAAAACTTTTAAACATTTCTTTTAATGGCTGCCATTGGAAGTGTTCACTGACCAAGTGTATCACGCTGACTTGGTGATGAAGTACTGCCACGAGGACTGAAAATACAATCGAGTCTTCATTGAGTGTAGGGGTGGCCCGTACTACAAGGTTGTACAATGACAAATATAATGCCGAATTTCCATCACTAATGTGATGTCCCAATGCAGAAGTTGTTTTTAACGCCCCTTCTTCCTTCTCCATCTTCAGGAGCGTCATCAAGAGAATAGACCAGTCGGAGTTTGAGGGGTTCGAATACATCAACCCACTGCTGCTTTCCACTGAAGAGTCTGTATGAAGGAGGCAAGGTATTTTCATCTTGGCTCCTCCTCCAGTGTGACCAAGCCGCTGTCTCTGCCAAAAGCCTCTAACAGGGCATCCTGAGGACTCAAGGGACAAACTGGAAATGTTCTTTCCTGCACTACTGGGATACCAAATTCCGAATGTTGTTGGTATCTGCAAGGAAAAAAAAAAACCTCACTCCTACTCAAAGAACATTCCCTCTGGATATGTCATCTGACCTTTCTTTGTTCTTTTATGTGCTTTTGGTTCCTGAAGCCCCAGAATGTCCATTGTGGTGTCCAATTCTTCGAGAGCTGGCTCGTTCCTCGCCTGACACCCTTTTATTCCGTCACACATTTCTGGATGAACCACAGCTTCTGTGAAGGACTTGAACATTTTACATAGACTTTCTTGGTAATTTGTCGGTGTGTTTTTTTTTTAATCTCAATTAGAGGGAGTGGGCGGGGCAAGGGACTGGTTTAAAATAAGAATGTATAATGATGAATGAAAGTTTAAGTTATTATGTACGATCATGTAGGTATTCAATCCAAATTTGACAATGCCTTTTTTGTTGATGCCAGTGGCCCCGTTTCATCCATAGCAACTCAATAATTTTTCTTGAATTTATTTGAAAAAAAAAAAAATGAAGAAGTGCCTCACACATCAAGCAAATTCCTGTGTCTGCTTGCACTTATCTCCCTTTGCCCACTTCAAGTTGTCAGAATACAGTAGTCTATACTGTGCCAGGCTCTTTTTAGAGCCCAGCAAAATGAGGAATTGTTTTATTTTAGAATCAATGAATTCCGAAGCACAGGCGCAGCGTTGCCAAATCCCACTTTGGAAATAACTTCAAAATGTGAGCCACCAGTAGTGATTAGTAAATGGCTTGTCAGAAGTTTTCCTAGTTTGCACATTTCGTCGTAGGGGTAAAGTGAGTGTGAGATTTGACAAGCAAATCTGAGTTGATGTCACAAGCAAAAGGCTGCATCGTTTTAGACCAGTGGTTCTCAACTGTTGTCACCCCCGGACCCGCATTGACCTATTGTTGCAAAGTCACGATCGGCTTTTAGCAAAGTTGAGAAAAATAAAGAAAATGTTTAAAAACACCCACTGAAAACATCATTTTTCAAATTTGTATTTTTTTTTAAATTAATTTGTAAAAAAGGGCATTTCTGAGCACTCCAAGGACCATCAACATGTTAACTGCGGCTATAAAAATGAATAAGGTCAAATGAAAGATCCAAATTTCATTTGGCTCAGCACTTTTTTTCCAGGAGGTGTGACATGAATAATTTGACCTTTACTCAGCGCAACAGTAACAGTTTGATCAGTTGTAACAATTGTACCAAACACAAGCCTCATATGTAATTGCTTGGGCTCCATCTGACAAGCCCTGAAGTGGTTATTTAAATGCCGCCAAAGGTTGTTAGTGTCACATTCGATTACTTTTATGCTGCAGTGATATTCACAAATTAAATGAGTTTGAAATCACCAGCTTTGGTGTCTGTTAGCCAGAGGTTGAGCCGCATTGTGTTTGTTTACAGCGTAAACTAGCAGCTCATCTAATATGTTCCATGTGGGTCCAGGGAAGCTTTTGTACCGTGTCGAAAAATCAGATTACGAATGAGTACATGTCCTGGTGGACCCCCAATAAGAATATTTCAGATGCACGCCTTTCAAAATAAAGGACAAGTAGAAGGTACCGAAGTAACTAACCAAAGCAAACACAGTAGTGAATATTTGGATGAAAAATACTTCTGGACCACAAACATAAACTATTCAAATGAATAATTGTCATTTGGGTACTAAGTGAGTGTGCCGCGGGATGGCGTATTCATACGCCACTGCGCAAACTAGTTCATTGTGCGTCATTAGACATTGTCCTAAACCGAAGACCCGTCATTTTTTTTTTCTTCTTGTCTGCAAGCCAACCACGACTGGTCCACGGCCCACCAGTTAAGAATCACTTCTGTAGACTGCAAAGCATGGTACACACCTACTGACAATCTGTCTTCATTCGAATTTTTTCTCCAGTCTCTTTTATCCAAGTTGGTAAAGACCCACTTGTCAGACGTCTCAAAAAGATTCTCCTGCTAGATAATGTTGTGGCGTGGGGTGTATTCAGTGATATAAATATATATTTTCCCCAAATCAATCTGCTCGGAAACCGATTGGGGCTGACAGTCAAACGTTAAACCTGTTCAAGAATTTCAATCTCAAATTCTCCCATGTGGTGAAGTAGCCAATTAGAAACCCAGTCAGCAAAATTGGTCTGGCCCGGCTCTGGCGCGGCCACAGCACGACACTCGGCCCACATACCGCAATGAATGACGGTCCTGCAGTGGCCCGGGTCTGGCATCCATGATCCGGGCCGCATTCGGCCCGGATCTGAGCCGCATTGTATAACCATATCCGGCCCTACTCCGGCCCGACGCTGGGCCAGAACAGGTTCATGATATCAGCCTTAATTCAACCTCAACTAAGCCACATCTTTCATGAGCCATATTTGACCCACATTTTTTTAAAAAAAGTCTCAAAAACAACTGTTATAAAAATATGTTTATTGTCATAATTTGCGAACCTCACATATAACTCCACATACACTGGAAAAATGCACTTTTCTTTATTTAACAGTGAACACAAAGTCCAAATTGGGATGCAGCTTCCTCTTGAACGGTATTTTTCTATCCATCAAATTGTAGCGCTCTCCATGCACTCTTTTCTTCTTATGCTTTTCTTCCTGTCACCATCCCGATAAGGAGCCAGATGTAGCCAGCTTGTGATTGTGACATCAATTTCCTGGTTTGAGGCCCAAGACGTTAAGGTGTTAGGTCTCACAGCGGCTGTTAGAACTGTAAGAAAACAAGAATGGATAGTGTGTTCGGAAAACAAACATTTGTACATGTCATGAGCAATGAATGGTCAGTAAAAATAACCCTTGAAATATCTTATAATAATAAGAATAATACATTTCATTTATAAGCGTCTTTCAAGACACTCAAGGGCACTTTACAACCAAAACTAAACTAGGTGTGACGCTGTGGGGCAGAATATTTGCCACCAAAAACTCAACGTGAATAACTTTTGAATAGTTTCTACTAAATTTGAATTACATGAATTGAAGTTAAGTGTATGGAAAATGGATGTACTTGTATATTTTACTCTGAATCATATTGAATAACTGAATCTGAATTGTACAATCTGAATTTTAAACGAGACTTTTTTCTTTGAAACTGGATTTGATCCTCACTGAAAATTAAATTCTGTTTTTTTTCATATTCAGTCTTACAAATCCAAACACTCATTTCAACGTCAGATTTTGTTTTTGAATTGAGGTACTAAGTTCAATCTTCAGTCTTCTGTCTTGTCTTCAGTCTTCAGTCTTCAGTCTTCTGTCTTCTGTCTTCTGTCTTCTATCTT